CCCCCATTGGGAATTTCCCAACAACGATGTGCCCTGCCCCACGCTCTTCAGCAAACGCTGCCTGCGTCTCTGGCTGAACCGGCAGCTGTCCATGCGGTGCGCCCTCACCTGATAAGTTTTTGGACAGCCCTTTTGGGATTTCGACCGTAAGCACGACGACGTTTAGCTGCCATGGAAGGTTTCCCATAGCAATCGTTTCCTTAATTTCCCAGAATATGGGCTAAGCTGCTTTTCACTAGGTACGATGCACGACAGGACGTTCAGCTCGTTCACGAAGACTGGCTTCCAGACAAGAAGCTAACTTCTGTACTACCGCAACGCTACCGTAATCCAAAGCGGCGCCCAGTTAATTGTAACTCCGCAGTAGACTCTGAACTTTACGCCAGTACCACTAAAAATTGTGCGGAAACGCTTGCATATACTTCACTTTCAAGGGTGGACGGGAATTTCGTGCACATTGCTTTCTTTCGACTCGACATATAGGTTCTATGTTTGGCATATGCGCAGCGTATGCCAAAATATAGAACCTCCAGGTCGAGACACAGGTATCATGTGTACGTTGACCATACTACGCTTACAACGCTTTTTTCTAGCTATTTGCAATTGGAGAATAATTAGCTGAATATAAAGAACCGAATTACTTTTAACTTACTCCAGACCAGAATTCTTTTACAAGTGCTTTCCCAACTTATCGCATGAAATTTCACTGCAAGCCTAGTGATTGGAAAAGCGAAAAACGTCACTATCACTAGACATAAAAAGTAGTGATCTGATTACTGACATGACATTTTTCGTGACGATACCATTTGGCGCCAGTTTGGTGCAACTACAGTTCAGACTCAGTTCGCTACAGACTGGTAGTTAGATTGGAGAGGTAATCCAGGGTCTCGAGTACAAACACGACTTGGTCCTTGGTGCTGACAAGAAACTTCAGGGTCAGGATCGTGACTGGCAGTACCAAATACTCTTGTAGACAACGTTTTTGGTGGCAAGTTTTTAACAGAATTTCCTCATATTTTGGCGGAACTGTGCCCAAGCAGTGCCCGTCTCAACTTTGGCTCTCTAGTTTCCACAGTAAATGTTTGTTCTACTTCAGTGGATGATTTCACTAATGTAGCTAGGTTTTGTGAAAAAAATTATTCCCAGGTTGAAAAGTCGTAGTTGTGAACGTGACCAACTACATATTAGGTTGTCCGGAAAGTTCTCATCGTTTTGTGCACCTATTTTTTTCAACTTTCACTGCTGACTAAAATCATTCTGCCTTGCTTCTCAGTAGCACATCCTGTAGAGAATTTCTTCTTTGCGCTATCTGATGGTATAATTGCCGTTTCACCATTGCTTGATAAACCCCCTTTTTCAAGATTTTTTCAAGCATGTGAAAAGAGCACTTCGGACGATTTTTTCTTCGACTATAAATTGGGGCAATCCGCAATCGAAACAGCTCAACAAATTAACCAGGTGTGGGGGGGGGGGGGGGGCGGGCCAGAGGTGCTAGAGAAAGCACTGTGCGGCAGTGGCTCAACAAATTTCGTTCTGGAGATTTCAGCCTTGAAGATGAACCTCATAGCGGTCGACCTAAAGCAATATCTGACGAGGATTTTGAGGGGATTTTGGAGGCTGACCCATCCCAAACAGTTCGAGAGATAGCAGAAGAGCTAGGCCTTGGCAAATCCACTGTTGCAGATGGTCTGGAACGCATTGGGAAGGTGAAAAAACTCGACAATTGGGTGCCCCACAATCGGAGTGACCGGCAGGAATCGGCACGTCTCGAGGTTCCTTCTGCATTGCTTTTGCGCAGCAGAAACGACCTGTTTTGGACCGAATTGTCACCTGTGATGAAATATGGATCATGTATGATAACAGGAGACGTTCCGGACAGTGGTTGGATTTTGACGGACCACCGAGGTAATTTTCAAAGCCGAACCCTCCCGAAAAAAAGATTCTGGTCAGGCTTGGTGGTCATCGGCTGGTGTGATCCACTATAACTTTTTAACACCAGGCCAAACCATCACAGCAGAACCCTACTTGAAGATATCGACGAATTGTACCGAAAATTTTGTCAGATGCAGCCAACACTTATCAAAAGAAAGGGTCCGATTCCTTTGCATGACAACGCCCGCCGCCCACACGTTTCACAAATCACTATCCATAAATTGAACGAATTGGGGGTTGAAGTTCTACCACACCCACCATATTCTCCAGACCTTTCACCAACCGACTATCACCTTTTCAAACATTTTCAGAACTTCCTTGCTGAAAAATACTTCATCAATTAGGACCAGGCAAAAAAGCCTTCGTGGATTTCGTGGATTCTCGACCACCCAGTTTTTCTTTGATGGGATTTCTCGACTGCTGTCACATTGGCAAAAGTGTGCTGATTCGAATGGTGCCTATTTCGATAAATCCGATGAGTATTAAAAAAGTTACGATCGTTTAAAGTGAAAAACACCAAAACGCTGAGAACTTTCCGGACAACCTAATAGAAGTACCACCTATTCCATCTTTCAAGGCGATGACGCTAATAATTTCAACCTAGTCCACCTCAATTTAATGTCTACTTTAGCGAACCTAGAAAGACGTTTCTAGCCCCCCCCCTCTTGTTTAGCACCAAGCGCGATGCACCGCCAAAGTTGAACAGAATGGCAGAAAGAACAGAAAGACAGATCAAGCCTATCCTTACATAGAAGTCCTCACAGCGACATCCGAAACAGACCAGCCTTCTTCCATTCGGATAAAGGAAATTATCGGGGTATTCTCAATGCCCGATGCCGCAATGCCCGATGTTGCCTGATGCTTGCTTTTGCCAACATTGGCCAACATCGGCCATTGGGTGGCATCGGGCACATCTTTGACAGGCGGACAATTTAAAGGGCGCTGTCCTAGGTTACGGTACCGTGGCGCTAATACTGTAGTTAGCTTCTTGTCGCTTCCAGTGCTACTGGAATATGAGCCTCTTATCAGGATGCGCTGTGTTCTAGATCACTCAGATGAAGATGAGCCACGAAGCCAATTTATTTGCAAAAAAAAACAGGGCAAAGGCGAGAGAGCGCTACTGCGCTACGTGCTATTTTGTTTCATCCTTCTGAATATTAGAAAAGATACGTACACCTGTCAATTTCCTATTTGGCCAAAGGGCGCAGACTATTAAACAAGACATGGCATAGTTACGTCGTGGTGTGACTAGCGTTCTTACCATCCTCCATCCTGTTTGGCTGCTACCCGTACCTATTGCTGTAACGATGTCGCAAATTTTCGCGCAATGGTGAACAGTAAAAGTGTAGAAATTATCTGCACCACTACAAAAGGACTGAATGGGGTGGCATTCAAGTGGAGGAATGAGAGCCCTCCTTTTCACTACCTTCTGACATCACTGCCACACCATTTCACTTGAAGAGAGTGGTATACCACCGTCGAATGCGAACAAAGTAAGGGAGGGGGAGGGACGGCGCCTACGTTCATGTGATCGTATATCGTGCTTTTAAGACCCATTAAGTGATAAGGGTGGCATGACGTGTTGAAATGTTAATCTTATCAAAAATATGAGCTAAACGACACTAAGTTTGCCACGATATTAGCATACCTATTGTGGGCGTTATAAATGCATGCTTCAAAACATCATTACTGAGAAGAGCACAGCGGCATCTTTCTCTTTACGCATTTTCAGAATGCCCTTGAGACATGGCCTGTCAACCCACACTGCCATTCTCATCAGAAGGGTAATTTCAGCTCATCAGGGTGGAGAAGCCAAAAGGCTTCTAGTGGTGAGATTTCCATATCTAAGGGCATCTTTTTATGCTATTCACAATTTCTTCGAATACGATAAACAAATCTTTCCTTCTTGAGAATCTGGGACTTTTTTCGGAGCTAACAACTCTGGAGGGGGTGCTAATGAAGATTCTCACCAACACAACGGGCAATCATACGGGCGATATGATAGTCAACAAAATGATAATGTTTCATATTACATCGCCATGAGCATGAAGGCTAGAGACTTATTTGCGGCACGCATATATCTCTATTTTTCCCGGATTTTTTTCTCTCACTATTTTGTAAATGAGCCACTCTTCCACCAAGCCGAACATAGCTCGAAAGGAGCACGGGGTCCAAAAAACCGACACAGAATTTGAAGGGCCATTAGTTCGAATTAACCTATCGAAAGATAGAGCTAGTCTAGCCTAACTGTAAGCATGACCCAACATTTCTCAAAATCTCTAAATATTCTCAAAAAAATTAAAACGGACCAGTTCGGCTATGTGGAACCCATCGACAAACATGTTATCGCCACCTTGCTCAGGACGCTCTACCATATGCAACATTTGAAGCTGAAATAGAAAAGCAATATAACAATTTGTACAACTCTGATGAAATCTTCTTCGAAGAACTGAGCACCTGTGGAGGATTTTCCAAAGACGTGAAATCGGTGTGGAACGGTAAGGCGCTTCTTGAAGCATACGCCATGTTACTTGCATCGACTTTAGTTGTAACTTCGAAAACTTTCCTGAAAGAAAACCGTGCCATGTTGCTGCTCGAAGAAACTAACGAGTTCACTTCAATCGCCTCTCCTGATAGTTCTAAAGCTGTTCTATTCATCTGCTTTCTCTTGCAAGTTAAGCTTGTTCCGCCCGCCAGGATTGGCTTATTTCTTTGTTTGCGCAGCATATTCAGACCATAAAGAAATAACTGAATGCGGAAACTTATAATCCTCAGTGCACGGTCTAGGGGACAGGTGATGCGAGAGCATCCTACTTCAAACGCCTATTGAAAAGTCGATGGCTACCTCTTATAGGGAGCAGTTCGGCTTGTGGGGCATTACGCGTGGTTATGCGTATCTTTTTGAGGTTGCGCACGTGGCCAGCTGCAAATTCCTTGTCAAGGGACAGGGGCCTCGGTAAACACCTAACAAGGGTGTAGCCAGTGCTAACGCATGGTTTAGCGTGCGTGCGATTTGACAGCTGAGCTCTTAGAAAGACTCAGAAAAGTGCAAGCGCCAGCAGCGCGCGGGGTTTCCGTCGCACCGCTGAGTTTCCATTCCCCAGGTCCTTTATGTTGAAATAGAAACAAATTAGCATGCACGGACAACTACCTGTGAAAAGAGGTCGGTAGGACGGCCATGGCCATCGTTAGAAGCGCCGTGCGCATGCTCGTCGAGGTCGGACCCGCACCTGAACCTTCGTTACTGCCGCACCCTTCCTCATGACCACCTCTGAGAGATTAGACTTCGTCTGTACAATCAGCAATCTCCCCCAAAAGCAAAGTTTGCGCTTCACATTCACGGTGCATGAGCGGAGTCACATAAACCAGCGCGTTTTCCTTATTATTGCGCTCTCACATTAACCCAAGCGGCTCCGCCTATACGACCACCGTGAAACGTGCACTACTCACGTACAAGGATCGGCAGAAAAGGAAAAAGTGCGGTCAAGAAAACAGCAAAAAGTGACGGGAATTTGGAATAGCGTCATGTCTTCTGTAAACAACAGTCAATTATTACAAACCCGAAGTGCGTGTGTTGAATCAGACCAATCCTGTTTCCGATGTCCGGAACTACTCTTTTTGTGCTCACAGGACCATTCTTAATCACCGCGATGCCGTCCATGCACACAGCCTCAAGGAAGTCGTGCAGAGCCTGAACAAGATGGAGCGCATTAGTTGACAAGTTTTCATGTACTGCCTAAATCAAGAACATTCGGCGCTTTCAAACTTTTCTTTCTTTTTTCAGGGTCTTCATTACAGAATCATTTGAAACTTTTGAGATAGGTGCTATGATTGCCTGAGAGTAGGATCCTTTCTGTGTAGGAGGTGGGCAGGTTCGTTTCGAAGACGTCTAGCAGTGAAGACAGATACTTGCGATGACTTTATGTTCAGGGTACAGCATCGCGATGTGTGAAATGGTGGCGTCAGTACGACCCTCCCCCACTTCCCCAACACCTACACACCTATTACTTTCCTACAAGTTCCCAGCTTTCTACCGGTTTTTCCGAAATTTGCAGCACTTTCCAGTTTCGAGCGGGGAGGGAGGGGGTAAATAGATTTCCCCAACTTCCTAACACTTTTTCCGGAATCCCGAGGATTTCCCTACTTTTCTCCAAAAACTTTGCTGTCGAGCGGGGGAGGGGTATATAGCCAATGAACGGGAAAAAACGCGAAAAGTCAGCAGCCGGGAAAATTTTTCCCCAACGCGGAAAATTTCTCTCAAAAGGCAAATGCGACTCCTCCCAGCGGCCGAGTACGGGGGGCCCCATCCTATGTTTTCACACAACGATGCTGCATCCTGTTCATGTTGCCTGTGTCTCCCCATCTTCCCAGATGCGACACGCACCGCCTCAGTTACGCGAAGTCACAGGCTTGACTGTAACAGCACGACTGGCTCTACTACAGGGCGTGGGTGTGGCTCGTCGAATAACGGGTGGAGATAGAATGAACATCAAGATTTCACCAGCTTCTTGCATAACTGTCGCGTACTTTCGAAGGGCTCCAGTACCTCTTGCAGGCTGCCCACCTCTGCGCAACGCAGTAGAATGGATCCACCTGAACACTCGGCAATGCGTCTACAGTATATCATTTGAAGTACTGTGAAGCAATTGCCAACTGTTTAAACAATTACTGCCTCTTCAACTATTCCCATTCTGTCTACTTTAGCGAAGCGAAATCGCTTTTCTTGTAAGCGACACCTGATTTCAAGGGAGAGGAAAAAGTCATGGTGTAGCGCACGCGCTGCGTGGCAAGCGATACCGCAGCGATGGCGCAGTGGAGGGCAGATCTTGCCGTGACTGTGCTCGAGTACTGTAGCTAGCTCTTTGTAAACCTACGACTGCCTCCACTCAGGGACGACGTCAGGGGCGATAGTTGTCTTACTTCCTTCAGAGGAAGATATCTCCTACACTGACCCCCATAGGAAAGAAGGCTTGAGTTGCCTAGTTGGGAGCCGATCTGGGGATTTGAGCCCGGACCGTGGGCGTGGTAAGCGTGTCACGCGCGCCAGTAACTTCCAATGCGCTCAACCGCTCGTTAACATTTTATCAATCCAAATTTTCCTCGCACTTCGAAATCATATACCTATGTTTGTTTATATTTCCGGCAGTTCAGACGATTTTGTTTTTATCATTGCTCAGAATAGGGTGCTGGTTCGTTGCTTTCCCTATCTTGCGACAGCAACACACAACGCGTGGCGCGCTGCCCGTGTGAATTTTTATATGAAGCCCGTGAAGCCGTTTTTGCTGCTTCCTTGTTTAGAGTATATAATTCAGAAGCGAGAATTATGACGTCACCTTGTCGTCGGCCATCACTGCTGCATACTCAAACTGCTGAAGCCGCCTCTCTATTTCTTCTTTGTCCCATGTTGTCTCTGGAAACAGATACACGTTCCGCCTCATCTTCCTAGCCAGTTCATCTGAGGGATTCCGAAGAAACAGCCAATCCGAGTCGAACCTAAGAGAAACGGTTTAAGACTGCATTTTCCCAAGAAGTAGAAGAATAAGAAGATGTTTCAACAAATAAATTTACATGTGAAAAAATTATTCCACAATTGCACTTAGAATCTAACGCTGTCAACACTGTTAACGTGCCGCACAAAGAAATACATCGATCTTCTTTCGTTTTCTTAGGTTCGAATTTGTTTTACACCGCACGGATTTTGGACACATACTGGTCTTCAGAGTTTCTGTCATTGCATATTGCCCTTTCAAAAAACGGAAGGTATTCAAAGAAAGCAGAAGCATGACTGGCTGCGATAGCATCGATACTATAGCAT